ATTTAAAATCGAATAAAAATTAGACATAATATTATTGGAATGAATCTTAATATTATTAAAACATTTCATAAAATTGACATTTATGTAATTTAAATTCAAATGAGAAGTTATCTTCTATGATAATGCATTGCACATAATCTCAGTAGTGCAAAACTTTAATTTGGATCAAGCTTAAACTTAAAATCAAAATTGATTTCATTTGACCCAGATGCATATATTATCATTATTGTTCAGAATTATATTTTATATTTAAAAAAAAAAGTATAATGTATCTTTTTTATTTTGTGTACTCATTGCAGCCAGAGTTGAAGGCTCTGATACGAGCAGGAATTCCCAATGAATATAGAGAGCAAATTTGGAAAGGGTATGTGTTGTCATGGTTACAGTTATTGTGAATGTTTAACCCTTGACCTCAGATACTCTAGACTAGCACATGGATGTTCAACTTTGACCTTTTGTGCCATAAGATTTTTAAATGCTTTTTATCGTTTGTTTATAGATGTATTAATTTTCGTGTTGGAGTAAACAGAGCTAACCATGGCGATGACTATTATCGAGGGCTTCTTGAATCAAAGGTAAATATACAATATATACCAACAAAATTTCCATCGTGTTTATAAAGTAGCGATGTAGTTGTGCTTAAACTAATGTGTATCAAAAAGCTCTATACTGTAATGAATTAGTTCACGTCATTCTCAAATAAATCATGTTACACAATTATATCATACCAATATTTCAACATCTTGAAAAGTTGTTGTGATTGGCCAAAAGATCCCATGTGACCAATGCTCACTATACCCATAAATATACAGGATATACCATATTTACGATGTTTCTATTCACTCCTACAGTTATGAATAGAAGGGAAAAAGTTAAAAAAATGTTATTCCACTGTAAAATATTTTCGCTGAATAGATGTTTTAGTGAAAATAAAATTCAGCGAATATACTTTTTTTTGCAATATTTTACATTCAACTCCTCAAAAGTCTGAAAATAAACTCCATACAAAACATCGAAAAATTATTTTCAGCGAAAATTAATTAAAGCTTAAATAAAGTATTTTACAGTGAGTTAACGAAATCAACTTGCAATATTATTATAATAATTAATTAGTATTAGATAAAAGTGAAAAATCGTATTTCAGAATAAGTCAAATGACACCAGTTACATTATCTAACCGTCGCACTCATTAATAGTTTAGCAACTATTCAACGTCAACAAGTTGTTGGTATCTGTGCTTTGTAGTGATCTGAGACATACAGTATTATTACCACCAGATTTCATACAGACGCAATACATGTACAAACTCTCATCTAAATGTAACACATAAAACTAGGCAACCTAATAAAAATATGATTTTAACTGATAAAAATTTACCATTGTTGTTTTTTACTTTATGTAAATTTTATTAATGTGTGTGAAATACCAATGTGATTATTGTATTATTCACCAGCTATTCAAGTTGAATCCATCAACCAAACAAATAGAACTGGATTTACTGAGAACATTGCCAAACAATAAACATTACGAAACTATGGATTCTGAAGGTGTAAGTATTCTTGTTTTTTTTCTCAGTGGTGTACGTTGCTGTTTGTGTACAATTCTGAGAGATTGTAGCGAGTGTGTCACTCGCAGTAGGATCTCGAATCATGCTTGACTCGCACATGAACTGCTTATGATTATATCAGTTTTATTTTCAGTAAACGTTTCTATACGTGTATGGCATGAATGTCAATAAACTGCCAGAGGAGCACTATCTTGATGACAGTTACTTGTTGCATATTATTTTTCATTAATGTAAATGTATTTTTGACTCCCGTGTGCGAAGCACAAAAGGGAGTCTTTGCAGTTACCCTGTCTGTATGTATGTATGTACATGTATGTATGTATGTCACTTTTTTTGTTCCACCGTTATCTCAAGAACCACTTATTAAATTTTGGTGAAACTTGGTACATAGATGCTCTGGGATAATGCGCAGAGTTGATTAGGTTTTGGTACAAATCTATGAATATGAAATACCTAATTTGCATGATAATTAACTGATTTTAAGCTGTTCCATGACTGTTCCACTGATATTTCAAGAACCACTCATTGGATTTTGATGAAACTTGGCACATGAATGCTCTGAACTAATGCGCAGATTTCATTAGTTTTGGGTAAAAATCTGTTTATATTAATTACCTAATTTGCATAATGATTAATCAACTTTCGGCTTTTCCACTGATGTCTCAAGTACTAATCATAACATTTCAATAAAACTTGGTACATAGATGTCATATGACACTGCACAGACTTGATAGTTTTTAGGGTAATATCAGTACATATTAATTACCTAATTCGCATAATTAATTAATTTTCAGCTTTTGATATTTCAAGTACTAATGATCACATTTCAATGAAACATGGTACATAGTTACTTGAGGACTGTGCAGAGACCTAATTGGTTTAGTTTTTGGATAAATATTTGTGCATATTAATCACCTTATTAGCATAATTAGTTAATTTTCAGCTCCTCACCTGATATCTCAAGTACTAATCATCTCATTTCAATGAGACTTGCGACATAGATCTTCTAGGACTATGCAGAGACCTGATTAATTTTGGAATAAATAATTGTGCATATTAACTACTTAATTTGCATAATTAGTTAATTGTTGCTGTTGCACTGATGTCTAAAGAACCACTCATTGGATTGTAATGAAACTTTTAAAGAGTACTCATCACATTTCAATAAACCTAGGACTATACACCATATTAGTTTTGGTAAATATTTATGCTTCTTAATCACCTAATTAACATAATTAATTAATTAATTAATACTGATATCTCAAGTATTGATCATCACATTTGAGTAAAACTTGGTACATAAATGCTCTAGGACAATAGACAGCCTGATTAATTTTGGGTTAAAATCTGTTCATATTAATTCTCTAATTAGCACAATAATTAATAATTTTTTGGTTCTAATCACATTTCAATCAAACTTGGTACATAGATATTATATTATGCAGATCTTGATACTTTTACATTGTGCAGACCTTATTAGTTTTACACTTAAATATGTTCATATTTGCATATTTGCATAATTAGTTGTTTGCATTTCCATCAATATCTCAAGTTCAAGTAATTTTGAATTAATTTTTAATGTGTCTCCAATACTCTCAGCACACGGGAGTTCTTTCTAGGCTTTTGTTGATTTAAATTATGTTTTAATAATAAATTAAAATACTAAAAACATGGCATAAATTTGGTATCATTTTGTCATTGTTGTTAACAAGTTTCTTCTGCCCATGATAACTCGAAATGTTTCCTTCCATTATTCGCAACTTTGTATTTTACTAGATTCCGAAATTGAGAAGAGTATTATTGGCTTACAGTTGTCATAATCCAGATATTGGGTACTGTCAGGTGAGATGAATAAAATATATTTTGTAAATGGTATTGTAATTATTAAGTATAAACTTCTGAAATAGCATAAATCGATAACTTTTTTGAAATTTTCTTCTATTCTCTGTGTGAGGTATAAATTTGAAACAAAATATCCTCATCATTGTATTTTTAATTTAAAAAATTGGTTACCATTTTGAATACAACTTGTGAAATCTTGGTCATTTTATGGTTCTTCATCTTGAAAACAAAAATTGGTGACCCATATTTGTTTACAAATTTTGTGAGACCCCACTGTCTAAAACCTGATCATTTTCAAAATAGAAGATCATTCTGTATCATTGTCATGATTACCAACATTTCTAAACATCACTTTGACTAAAATATTCGTTCATGTTCCTATAGGGTTTGAATCGCATTGCTGCAATCGCTTTGCTCTTCCTGTCCGAAGAAGATGCATTCTGGTAAGCTCATTAGACGTGGACATAGTGACGTCTGATAATTCTGGCTTGTGATCAGCACAAGTTAAGAAGCTGTTGTGACAATGTTGGCCACAAGTTTTTTTTTATTAATAAGAACAAATACGAGTATACAACAACAATGAGAATGACATTATTCTATCTTCGGGTGCGACTATTTCTTGCCAACCAATCACTGTGCATGTGTGTGCAAAAAGTGATGGGGTATTAAACACACTTTTATATCAGGAATTTTTATGAGATGTCACCAAATTGGTTTTTGTCTCTATTTTCAAATCTGAAGATGAAAAAGTTTTGGTAACTTAACATGATTTTTGAATTACCGGTATGATCTTCATTTGCATGTGTTTTGACCAATTTTTATTTCAAAATGGCCACTATTACCGTTACTAAGGTATTCATAGCATAACCGCTTCGTGAAAAAACCTATTTGTTCGTTTTCATTCATTTGATAGAACCTCTCAGTGAAACACCAAGTTTTTGTTAGTGCCTTTAATTGTCTACATTTATACTACTTAATAGGTATAGAAAGCAAAGATATGTCTTCAATATCGTGGTGGTTATTGTCGATGTCAGGAAAAACAATTTCTTGCTGTTATATTCACTTAAAAATTGTCATGTGTTCATTTTCAAACTAACGATAACGTTCGTAATGGGAAGATGTGAATAGTATCATGTAGTTTAATAGTAGCCAAATAAGGACTTATACCATATTTGCTCTATTGTGTATGCGCTTACTTGTCGAAGGGAAAAATGAGTAATGCTAATAATCCAATACACAATAAAGGTAACTGTAAGCTTTGATGCAATTCTATTGGTCCAGGAGTGATTTTAATAGAGCAAATATGGAAGTTATTGCTGTCTGATATGTTTTTTTCCTTTGTTTGTCATGTGAGTTTTGTGATTTTTATTTATCTTTTTTTTTATTTTATGACAGGTGTATAGTAGCGATAGTTGAATACCTACAACCATGTGACTACTACAGTAAAACCCTCATTGGTTCCCAGACTGATCAACGTGTATGTAAAGATCTCATATCAGATAAACTGCCGAGATTAAGCGCTCATTTTGACAAATATAAGTAAGTCACAAAAACCATAATTGTGTCATTTTCTGTATTTTTTTTAAAATATTTTTTTCACAATTATCAGTGTACCAATCAACTTTGGTAATTTTTGTTATATGATTTTAATCATTCCCTGATGTATCTTGATTCCCTTTTTCTGAATTTCTGCGGCTCATAAGACCTCCTTAAATATTTCCGACATAGTGTCACATTATGCACATTATACACGCCAACATGTGTCATATAATGAAAATTTATGTCCATTTGACCCAAAAACAAACAAACAATAATGCGAGAAAAGTACATAAAAAGTGGCAAAAAGTTACACCAAAATTTTAGCAGGATACATTTTGGTGTTTTAATTAAGGGTTTTATTATTTATGAATCTACAAATATTATCTCAGAGACAAATTAAAAAAAAATACATCATCATTACGTCATGTTTTTTGTGCGTTGATGCTTAAGTGCTTTGATGTGGCTATGACTGAGTGTGCTAAGAATAACAATCGCTTTTTTTTTTCTAACTAGCGCTGATTTATCATTGATAACTTTTAATTGGTTTCTAACCATATTTTGTGATGGTGTACCAACTGAGGTAAATATTTGTTCTCTTCAGAATTTACTGCTTTTGATAAAAAAACATGCTTAAAGTAGTGTGACTTGCACTTCTGGTTCTCAGGATTGGATGTTAGGTTGTTCATGCTATGCATAATTAAACCACACCTACACCAATGGCTGGTACATGATGTTAGGTTTAGGAGAGGGGGGGGGGGTTCTTTACAATAATGCAATTATCGCATTGAATTATGGGATACATGTGAACAATGATGGTTTGAGGAGTCTCATCTACATCCGCAACTCTGGACAGCTAAAACAAAATGATTCATACAAATATTCATTCTCCAGCTATTTGCATGTTGTTACCATAACTACATACAATGTCACCACATGACACAGTGGTAATTTCTTTTGCTCTGTCTGTCATACATTGAAAAATATGAAAAAAACTTTTGTGGAAACTTTTTAATCCCTCTGAGGGCCCTCATAATTTATAATTTTAGTTCAGATTGACATAATTTCATTTTGTCTACAAAAAAATGGTAAAAAGATGTATGGGTTAAAATGTTGAAATTTGATATTGCCGTTATTTCTTTGATATATCTGTTTACCAAAATATTGTTGTGAATATCTGCAAGTTTCCATCATTTCTCCTGAATTCAATTTTCCTAATAGATGGAATATTAACAATTTTGAATTGGAGTATTGCGCAGACGTAAGGTCACTCTTATTATTTATTCTTTCAGACAATGTTAAGAGTTTGGGACTCGTTTTTGTACGAGGGAAATAAAGTCCTATTTCGGTTTGCATTGGCTTTCTTTAAACAATGTGAAGAAGAGATACTGCAGTTGACAGATTACCTCTCTCTATTCAAACATTTACGACACATGTCAATGAAAATGACAGACGTCCAAAAGATTACACAGGTATGATTTATTATTGTTCCTGATGTTTGATCTCAAGCAGAATTCCTATTCCACATGACAGCGCTCTCTGGTGTTGCAGCTATACACTATTAATTTTCTTTGAAACTTTTTCGGTTGCAACATTCTATTTTCGGCGTTATTAATAATCATGATTTGAGAATGTGTAAGTTCGAAATTTTTCAAAAGTCATTTTTACTTTTCTCCTTGACTTGTGAATATCTGTATAAAGAATTTTACAGTATTACCATATCTAGCATTTAACCATAAGTAATGTGCTCATCAAATTTGAAGGTCTTGTTTTGGTTTACTGGGTCCAAATGTTTATGTTCAAAACATAGGTACAATTTTACCTAAATTTTACTATTAAATGCTAGATCTCTCTTAATGGTTATTTATTTTCCAGTTTGCATTCCATGATATCAATCCTTTTCCAATGAAAATTATCAAAACTAGAAGGGCTTTCCATCTTGCTCAAGTTAAGGTATGTATTTTTCCTGGAGTAGTCCTTCTCATGGTCTATTCTATTATACTACGCCAAGGACACCGCTTAAAGTGCCTGTCAAGTTATATCCGGCGTATCTTTGAATTTGTCTTCTGTACTTGGAAAGCGAATTAGATACTCATCGAGCGAGAATCAAAATAGTGCCCTAAATTTTACTCCGCACACCAATGTGGATTGGTACCATTGCAATAAGAGGGACCACTTCTATGAGACTATGGCATTTGACCACTGGTGTCACTTCCACTGAATAGATGGCAGAAGTCAGTTGCTGAAGGAAAGTCAATAGCTGGCTTGCGTCGGTAGTACCGGTATTGATTATAAACTAGTACACCATGGGTACCTCATAGTTAGTGTAGCCAGTCTCATGTTCTGTTTTATTCAGTCTATGGTATTGTCGCATAAATAATTGAGTGGCACTTAAACTCAATTTTTATGTTTTTAAATAGTTATAGATTTGAAGTTCAAAAGAAAACAAGATTACCTTCAGTTTTAATCTCCCTCCCAGATTACCGTACGTTTCAACCAAAACCTCCAAATGGATTTCAGGAAAAAATAATCTCTTCAGTTTTGAATTTATTGTCTAACACATGTTTTATCTTAATACAGTGAGGTATCTTTACTTTTCTTACAACATTCATTTGTTACATCGCCTCACTGATCTTTTTTCAGGCTCAGCTGGAGGAGATTGATGCCATCAGGGAAGACTTCATCAGCCACAGGCAACACAGAGAAGATGATGTATTTAGTGATGAAGACAACTAGTTGCCATGGTGACGACTTTGGTAAACCATGTGGGACCAGTTGTAATTTGCCTATACATAAAATATAATATACTAGTATAATAAATTGAGATTTTCTAACTGTAACCAGGTTATAGCAAAAAAAAAACCACAGCTACCGGGGTATTCTTGAAAACTTGTTGGCCAATTCAAGATGGCTGACTTATAGTGCAAATGTTTTTATGTATTCACTTTTTATTATATGTTGTTAAAATAAGTTAATGGTTTTCTACACAACAATAAATAGTATAGCTAATTCTACTTTGGTATTTTTTTGGAAAAAATGTATTTATATCATTTTCTGTGTGACATTTTTTGTTATTTTTGTTGTTATTTTTAATTTTGGAACACACGCACAAGAGTTCGGCACTTCCTGTTGCTGTTCATTTTCACTCTTCATTTTTTGTGTCATGCATTAAATAGGCTTCAAACATTAAATCATAACTGTTACCTGTTAATTGTAATATTTGAAATTCCAATTGTAACCCATATTTTATTGCACATTTCACACCAGAAACCATATTACATACTTGTGGTTGAGGCTTCCAATCATTTAAGTAAACCATGGCTAGTCATTAGCGGTGTTGATCTTCTGGTCAAGTTTAAACTCTAGAACTTAATGTTATAAGCCCCACCAAGTAACAACTCCACAATTCAAAGGGAATACAAAATCACATTTTAGCGATTAATAAATGCCTTAACCACCATAGTTAAATAATGTTAAACCATTTATTTTCATTAACGTTCACTATTTTGGTGCTTTGGGCTTGTTCACTGGGTTTTGAGTTCATGAACTTGGCAAAGAAACAATGAATTCTATTGTTATTTTACATGTTCATGTTCATTTAATTCAGCAGATTATACTTATTGGCAAAATTAAAAACCAGCGAATAATTAATATATTTACAGTACTATAGAGTGTATAGAGATAAAGTACCGGTATAGCTGTCTTTGGTTATAAGCGTCATTCTCAAGCAATTTTTTAGAGACATTTTCATTTTATCAGCCTCATGCAAATAAGCTCATTTTATATTCATGCTCAAATGTTATTCTTAAAGCGAGAGGGTGTCACCTGCGCACATGCATGAATTGGGTCCCAAACGACGATAACAACACACGCTAAAAACGCGAAGACTCCTGGGTGGAAGCTTGTTTGTAAACAATGACACGCTAAGGCCACCCGACGCATGCACAGATGACAACTCCCTCGCTTTAAATTTGTGTACAGCATTACTATTTTCATGTTTTTTGTATGTATTTGGAAACTTTTACTGAGAAGAGAAAAAAAAGCACAATGTATAATACTTGGTTAAAATATACTATATTTTTTAACACTGTAAAAGCTGAAGCTTGACACTTATGGACAGCGTGTTGAATTAATCGTCGATCTGCCAAGATTTTGATAGTTTTACTAATTTTCACTGGGTTAAATTTCACTGATTTACCATTTCAGGCATATTCAGTGGGTTTTAAATTCACGCTTTTATCATTTAGATAATGTGTTATTTTACATATTCACTGGGTTTTAATTTAGCGCATTTTCCAGTCAGCGAAATAAGCAAAATTAAAACCCACTGAATAATTAATCCTTTTACAATATCTGAAATTGAAAAGAAGTTTCAAATTATTGTTGTGTTGCCGACCTTGCTGTGTTTCGCATATGATGGACACTAATGGAAGTATTTAATATCACAAGTTTTTATATATTCTCCTGCTCTATTACTAAGTGTGTCATAAGAAGTCATATTTTATTACCAGTAATACAGTATATAGTAAAGATTACGTGTGGTTTATGTGGAGATGTGTAAGTATGGTTGTATATACTTATATTGATCAGTTAAATTGCAGGAAATGATTAACTCAGCAGATGGGCTACTTGTAAAATACTTGTAAATACCACTGCTTTGATTGGTAACAATAAAGTGTCTGAATTTATAAATAATAATAATCTTAACTGTTTTTGCAAGATATACTAAAATCATGACTAAAACTGAGAAACAGTTTAAAATGTTGATAACAAGAACAAAATAAACGATAGTCAGTAATTCATATTTTAAGGGAATTTATTTTATAGTAGAAAGACCACAATATAACTTTCATAGACCAGTACTGATTTAAGTAATTACCTTGTTTTAAAGGTCTCTGATTTATAAGTCTGATCAGCCATAATTTACTGTCCGTATTTATGTATGTATTTTTATGATTTATAAATTTGTTTTTTTATATTTTCATACAAAAACAATTAAAGGCTACTTATTGTTTTTAATGTTTTTTTTTATTGTTCAGTCATTACATTTATAATGTTTAGTTTTATTTATTGTAATTTACTTTGTGACTATTAGTCCTTCCATTATTCTGGGACTGTGATCCAGTACTGCCTGGGTGTATACTTTTTGGTTATTTTATGATGTTAATAACCTGCATATAGTGGAAAAGTTGGAGCAAGTACAGATTCATTTTGGGGTCAAATGGTAAATTCTATAATAATATACAATATTCAAGGCATTGTTATACCAAGTCTGTTGTCCACCTGGTTCTTTTCTGCTTTAAACAAAAATAATCACGTCTTTCCAATTGTATTGTGATTAATTTATTCGGATTGCAATTATGATTACGATATAAAGATTATTAACAACTTGTACAATTTAGTTCCTGTCTTCTGATGACATTTTGCGTCTCGTATTTATACCATATTTGGTCTATTAGTAGTGCATCTGTTAACACATGGAACGTAATAGTACCTCTAAGGATTACAAAAAAGAGTAAATTTCAGAGATGAGTTTATGGCCAAAATAAGGTACATTTTAATGAACTAGTATGCATTAAATACACTTTTGTATACTTTTATTAAGTAAGCATTTCTGACTAAATATGATACTTTCATTGTAAGCTCGATTTCCAAACGTTGTCACACGTTCTTGTTTGTGATACTGCCCCCAACGTTAATACTACAGAATTACACGGGCAGTAGCAAGGGTCTCGAAACTCAATGCTGAAATCCCTTATAAATATGTCTGTGTTTGAAACAAGATAATAAATTCACTGTTTTATGGACAAAATATAATGTGTTATTAGTGGGCCATTAATGTTTGCTTTCGGACCCCACAAGTATGTAGTTTCCGATCGTGCGCCCATTACGATTCCCGTGGTTAAAATTATTATTAGTGGTTTATGAAGTTTCAAATACATATGTAACAGACTTGAAAGTAATGCAGATAGTTACTACAACAGATGTAACAACATTATTTTCAATATTATATAAATATCGTTTGTGTTTCTAGTTCATCCATAGTTAAAATATCACCATGCAAATCCAAATACAGACGATATTTCAATCTAGAAACAAATAACTTAGTAATAAACTGAATGAGTCACTATTTGATACGTCTCACGATCAACAGGTCAACCATATTTGCTTCAAGTTGAAAAATATATGTAAATTCACTTGCGCGTTCAAGAAATCATTTTTATTTAGTCGCTACATTTTCGGGCTTTTCCCGCAACCCATGGCCACTATTGACCTCCAGGTGAGAAGAGGTATCATACGCGATTAGTGGTGAGATTTGGTTCTGAATGGCAAAGATAAATGAACTAATCAATTGATAATTACTTTTGGCACAACAAAGGCGTTCCTTTCATCTTTGTAAATATTTAGAATTTTCAAGTAAACGTGAGGTTTCTATTGGCTGATTGAATAACATTGTCACGTTTTCAGTTTGTTTCATTTATTCATACTTTACCAAGTTGACACAAAATATTACACAAAATGCACCGTGATAGTAGCATATACTGTAAAATGACTAATTTTCACTGGGTTTAAATTTCACTGATTTACCATTTCAGGCATATTCAGTGGGTTTTAACTTCACGGTTTTATCATTTGGATAATGTGTTTTATGCGAAATTATACATATTCCCTGGGTTTTAATTTAGCGCACTTTCCAGTCAGCGAAATAAGCCAAATTAAAACCCAGTGAAAAATTAATCATTTTACAGTACATGATATTCTGCTTCCCATATCACTAAAAGACTTTACCTCTTCTAGTTCCATATAATTCATAGTGTAATTTCCGTTTAAAGGTGACAATGTTTTACTGATTGGCAACACTTTACAATTCGTTGAATTAAATTCCATTCACGACATTTTACTAAAAACTACTCGAGACCACTCCATTGTGGCAACCAAATTTTTGTAAAATACATGTAGCGCAATCCGACTAGGTACTTGTGGATTTATAAATTTATTTAAATTATTATTACTGATTACAGATTTATGTACAGTAAAAAAAGAACAGGATCCAAAATTGAACGCCGGGTGTAACCGGAAGCCCAATCTGATGAGGCATCTTCCACTAAAACTCTCAGACTGCGATTTGTGCGGACTCGAGTTGAAAATCAGCAAAACAACGGTCCACAAAGACAGTGCATGCTTAGTTTATGAAGTAACAATCTATGTGGAACTCTATCGAATGCTTTAGCAAAATCTAACATGCTCGACTACCTCAAATAAATGACGTTGTTGCGCTTTGTGCTCTTTTATTGACTGGTTTGATTCGACTTCCATTAAATGTATGAGTAGTAAAAATGAAGGAATGCCTTTGGTGCGCCAAAATAAATACATAAATGATCGACAAATATAAGTTTTCCCAACTCTGAGGTTCAAGCATGGCGTACCATACCAACATATTACTAATGTATTGTCACAGAATACTCGTGTCAGCGAGTTACGTATGGAGACAAATTAACTCAACCCGCACCTTATACTACTAGTAGTTGAAAATACGAGAAAGTGGTTAGAACCGATAAATATAAAATATGGAAAATTGTAGTGGATAGTCCATAGTAATTTTCAATATAACCAGACGTTTCGGGCAACAATACCCGTTATCCATGAAGACACGTTTCAATAGTATGTGGAACAACATTATCTACGAACCCCATTATCCTATTTAATTGTACGTTGATTTCGAATAACATTTGAGTCCCAATACCATCCAAATCAACGGATATTATGCGAACTTAGTTCAGTTCTATGGTATTATTTATATATAGTAAAATTGTCTCTAGTGGTACTTCAAATTGCCCCCGAGCAATGAGGTCAATATGTAGTATTGAGAAAATATACTAGTAATTACGAATGTTGCTCCGGGCTGTCGTAGGAGACACTACATGTGCGTGTTTCCCGGGACGTTTTCGTGTGGGATACCAAATTACGTTCTTAACACCCGGCCTGTATACTCAGCTGAACACTCTCGTGACATGACACTGATATGATCGATATGATATAAACTTACTCGTAAAATGGTTTTACCAAGAATTTATTTATTGTGCAATATACTGTACATCAATATAAACATATCAATAATTTATTGATATGAAAAGGGTAAGGGTCACAGATCTATTTTTCGAGAAAATGATGGTTGTATTTTAATAGTGAACGACGGCCATTTTGTCAGTATTAATGATGTTTTTATGGTGATGGAATCTCAAATGCTGGTGAAATAGAATGAAACAGTAAAAAATAGATCATGACTGACGAAATACTCTTTATTATATAGATTTATTTAAAAAGAATTTGAATTTTAAGTGAAAAAATGCTATTTTTTTTCTTTCGCATTATGCTCTATGGAATATATAAACATATATAAACAAGTAATTGAACATTTTCTTTAAAATGCGACAACATAACACACAGAGAAACACTGCTTCGTGTCACCATAAAACTGTCATTCCAACTGAGATTCAAGTTGTACACAATAAACCAATGACCATTGTCATGCGACTATTGACGAACTTTCTCAAAGAATATGAGCAGACTTTGGCCTTAAAGCGCGGTGTAAATAAATAAACATGTAAATAAACAATGTATTTTATACGCGTTGAACGGTCGCTATGAGTCTCATATCGAACAGGACGCGGCACGACGACTGCCGCCATGTAATGTGTCAACGAAATAAAATGAACGCACTCAAGATGCAGTATGGACGAATACACGTATTCTTTGATATTATTGGTCGATATTGTAGACCAAATCAGACTATGATTTACCATAAACCGTGACTAAAATGTTAGCTGGAATTATGTCTATTAATTCAGAACGAGGGTCTGCTTATTTATTATTAAATTTGTACAATTGACTTTTGAGATTTAGAATTCAATATAAAATAAAAATGCATGAGTGTACACACCGCAAACAATATGAATTACTTTTCGTCCGACTGGTAACTTGAATATTATTATACAATGCGATATGTAAATCACTTATTATACATGGAACATTTTTATAGTAATATTCATGTTTTAATATTGTTTGTTCTTGTAGTAAAGTTACAAATACATTATTCGACGAATGAAAATATTGAATAATTTTACTTTGATTTTTGTATTGCTACGCACACGTTATGAAATCGACAATGGTATTCTTATAGGACTGTTCATGGTCAGCCTAAAGGGCCCCGAACAATTATAAAACTACTCAGGGAGTCTGCTACTCCAATACCCACAATTCAATGCAGCGCCCGTACACTTTGGCTGGATGACGTTATGAGGCTTGATAAACTTTGAATTTTGTCTGCGTATGTGACGTTATTGGAGTTTCAGACATTTGTTGGCGAATGACGTAAGTATATGACCAATGGAAAGCATCTTGCACCAGGGTTGAACTCTGTAAAGTTGTTCCGTGAGGAAGAGCTATGTATCGCCAGGGTCACATTGGTTTTTTCTTGAGCGACCGAGACACACTAGATTGTGCGCTCAGCGTTGTTTATCGGTCAATGATTTGACCGCCGTCTGACCCGGCCGTCTGATGTATATATGATAGACAGGGACACATATGTAGTACACGGACATCTATTGTTTAATCCACTGGTAGTGCAAAGTGCACACACGAATTGAAAACGTCACGTCTAAAGAAAGTGAACTATACTTGCGAAGATAAAACAGAAGCAATTTCAACCCTGACCTTGACTATTTTTAGATATATTTTAATGACCTTCGCAAGCCTGTTGCATAGAATAATAAGCTGTTGTTGTTTTTAAATTTTTGAAGGGGTTGTTGTGAGATTGCGCAATAAACAATAATAATCCTTTCATTTTCAGTCATAATTTTAACCAAGGATTATAATATATTCCGTGACAATTTACTTTTTTAAAGAAAACTACTAGATATTTGTTAAAGTCTTAATATTGTATTTGAGGTCTTGTCCACAGCTCTGAAATAGTACATAAACTGAAAGGATCATGTCTAGCAGCCTGGAGCAAAATACAACTGTCTGTGATGCATGTCCTTTTTCATCTTTCGTTTTCTATTCAATATTATATGCAAATGAGTCTATATGTTTCATATTTAATCTGGAAAATGACATGGCTTTTTAAATCATTGCTGCTAGATGTGTCTGCATTTTAATGCCTAATAGATAACCGCGAGGACTGAATTTTGAGAACGCTGCTATTGTTTTCAGAACTCTATTGAAATATCCACTCCTTAAAGTGCCTGTGCAATGTCCACCCTCACGTTTCCCATTTTAGATCTGTGTCCCACTGAAATGGGCAGTTATTGATTTTTTTGCTGCAAATGATTACTCGTATCCAAGTAAATTTGGGATATTTCTCGTGTTGTAGCCACGCCCACCTATCCTGAAACGGTCGACTGTTTCCGGATTTCCGACCCTCGCCGAAAGTGCGCCACCAAATGACAAAATGTGAGAGGAAGTCATACCCCTGAGCCGTAATAACACTGGTCATTCAGTATACTTTCAAACGATATACATTTTTCGGTCTATTTTATTTTTTTTGAGAGAGAGTTTTTAGATGTTGTGTTGTGGAAAGTTGCAGTGAAACGTATAGTCATAGTGTAATCGATCCAAAGGTGCGACATCAGTGGACGAAAGCCACTTAACCTCAGATTCTTTTTTTTTGTGGAAAAACTGTCCTCGTCCATGAAAAAAACAAAAACTAGATTTAAAGAGAAACGCCGACAACGTAAACCTGGCGCAACACTTTTGAAAAAAATAGATTCCGGACGAGCCCATGATCACCGAGGCAGATTTCAGAAGAGAGAGAGACATCCGGCAGGTGTTTCAAATGAGTTGACATTTTTGCGATCCTGATTATTGTTTTATAGAAACCATTTAGTCCCTGTTAAGTAAAAGGTAGCAATAATTTTGACAGTGACACGAAAACGAAGCGACGGACGAACAGGAACTTACACAGCCCTTACACACTGCTAATTGTTTTCATTTTCGAAGGCTAAAAGTTTCTGAGTTGTTTGGTGATTGGTGTTGAATGTCGAATTCACACCTCTGTTCTTTTTTTACCTCCATGCTTGCAGCTTGATCTGCGTAATAATTTATGAAATAAGAATCCGGGCTT